ACAATGTGTCAAAAAATACACATTACTGCATTGTCTTCTGGCGCATCTGTACCTTAGCGTGTGCACCTTGGTGTGTGTAAGCAGCAGCTGTTGTCCGATTGTTCCGCTGCACTGTCAGGGTGTAGTTTGGTCAGCCAGGGCCTAAAAAGAAGGGCATCTCTCCCTTTCTCTCTGTCTCTTTCTCTCTCCCGGTCTCCTCTTTCTTTCTCTCTCCATGAGTGTGGCCTTAATGAATGGATCCTCAGATGGAAAGGAAAAGCAGCACATTGTCTGCTCTGCCTCATTGCACTGCGGGCCTTTTGAATGTGGCTCTTTAACACTGATTTTTTGTGTTTATGCTTGGCGGTTCGCTGCAGTGAATTTAATGAGGCTCCCCCTTGTTGTACTTCAGTTTGCGAAAGGCTCTGCCATGCTTTGAATCTGTCCTTGTGTTTCACCACAGAGAAACAACAGCCTTGGGCCTTTTAGTCAAGATGACCAGAGATCTCTTGGCCATTTATGGAAAAAAAAACTGTTAGCATGTTACACTGCTGAGATGTTTTAACCTGATTCAATGAACATGTTTTATCAGCATTAGCATAGCTTCTGTATAAGAGAGTTAGGAAAATGTTGGACGAGTTGAAAGTGATTAGTTATATTAATTGCTTGTTGTGAGATTTTGGTTAAACCGATATGATGCATTAACTTTACTTTTATTTTTTTTTATATGCGAATTATGCATTGTTTTATGTGACCACAAAAACAACATATCTGACTCTGTTTAAAAGTCGGTTTATTTCAAACTGTTAAAAACAAAATTTAAACATTCCTTTTTTAACCACTTTTCAATCCATTATTAAAAAGGTAATGATGACATGTGAGAGTGTAACTTAAAACGATTTTTGATTGTTGACCACACAAACCAGCTAGGCTTATTTATTGCCTGTCTATAGATGAATTCTTGCACTATTTAAACACCTGCTTGAAAAATGGAAATAGCTTTATCCATGTTTTTTTTCATCTTTTTTTGCTTGCTTGCTTCAGTTACTTCGCAGTGGCTAATTCTTAAATGACCTGATTGAATTGGTAGTGTTAAAACTAAAACACTAAAAAAACAAAAAAAACAAAACAAAACTACAAAGACACATCATTTAACTATAGTTAGCCATTTTTAGCTAGTGCTACAAGCATTCTTGCTGCACAGGAGTATGGTGTCAGGAGCTTTAGAATTCTGGAGGCTGTCTTAAATTTCTCCGTCAAGAAATAAGAAGCGTTATTTGTCACATGCCATTGACAACGGACAATGAGAGTGAAATTCGAATTGTGACGGGCCCAAATTGTGCAAAGAGCGGCTATAAATAGAATTAGAAAAAGAGTATAATAAGAATAAAGAGTGATACGAAAAGATAAAGATTGGCAAGAGCCTCCGTTATAAAGATCATTACTTGGATGCTGGAAATAAATTAGCGTGCACAAGAAATGATCTGATTGCGACGGATGCGGAGAACCCGTCAACGTTTTCAAAGGTTTTGAATCATTATGCCCTGGTTTCGTATGTGGTCTAGACTTGAATGATACACACAGTTCTAGAACTTCTAACCAATCTTGGTTAAAACAGGAACGATTCTTGTCATTTAACTGACAATCTGTTTTGATTCCGATCTCTGTGAAGCAGTCGTAGATGTAACGTTAGGCCCACCGGAAACCACAGCTCCTGCAGAGATGAGGTTCAACGTCCTCATGGCTGTGTAGTAAAGGCGTGAAATTATATATTCTAATATATATATAAGTTGCAAACCCAGCCAAAGGATAAAAAAAAGGCTGAGTAGTTGTCCGGAAAATACGGTCATTTCCTGTTTTGTGAATTTGGGACATACAAATAGCATTGACTTGACTTGACTTGACCGGCAGTTACCTTTAAAGAGGCGCCGTTTTAAGCATGGGTCAGCAGCTAGAAAACAAAACCATCGTTTTTACAGTAACACTTGTCTATCCACAGATGAATAAATTGGATTAGTGCCATCTGATTTGACAGTGTGTTATGCATGAATAGCACTACTCTCTCTCAGAGTTTCTTTGTTATAAGTTTCTTTGTAGTTTGGGCAGTCGTTGCCAGTTGCTGAGTGACAGCCTTTCTTGAGACTTGGCCTGTAGTGTTACGGATTTCATTTTTTTAGCCACAAACGACGTCCAGCTTTAAGACAATATACATTTTGCCTGGATAAATTAGAGAAAGGGAAAGAATTCAATAAAATTTAAAAAAACATTGCAATCAACAAATAGGGATGCCTTAAAACAGACTCATTGTTCAGATAAATCTTTATAATCCCACACTTGACATATTATCCACAAAAGCAATCACTCCACCTGTAGTAGTGATTTTTATGGCCATCATGGAACATAAAAAAAAGTCAGGGTCAGTAGGTGATTCTAGAAGAAGGATGTGAGCCAAGGAAAACCAGGCTAAAAGTTGGGGAGATGTAGGCTAGCCACAGGTGGTCTGTAATTCTGCACCGTAATTGCTTGGAAAAGTGTATTATTGGCCTCCAGGCCACTCATCAACTCTGTAGGGGTGCACGAGAAAAAGCGATGAGTGGGGCTGAAAAATAGGATGGATGGCACGATGTCCCACTGAGAGACAATTCTGCCAGACACTTAAAATACGTTGAGGGAGTATTGTTATTGTCTCGATTGAAAAACATCTTCTTCCCAAAGTATTAAGCCCGACTAATGAAAATGCTAATAGCAAATGGAAAGATAATCTTCCAATTCGATTAAAGACACATTGTGTCCTCGAGACGAGGTGGAACGGTCATTTATAAGCTCAAATCGTCTCGACCGCAGAGAGAAGCAATACCGCTTCCTCTCCTTCCTCGCAGATGGAGTGCAGTATGGATGACAGACTTTGGCTGTAGGACTCGCTAGATGTAGTAGTTTTCCAAAGTATTCGTTGTTTTGACAATCGTCAGTGAAATTACCTCAACAGAGACACCTTTAAATACTTAAAATATACCTGTATTTACGGTACCTCCAACCTTCTGCCATCTACAGGAAAACCTTAAGAGCCCGTTGGAGTGTTTTTATCCCCAATTTATTGACAATTAAGGAAACTGGTGAGGGTTGCCCCTGGCTGGGCAATCTGGACAATAATGTTCGCTTCCGAATATCCTTATTCTCATTGGTCTGTTCTGCTTCACTCCATACACTAGTAGAGTTTTGGTGGCTTCTCCAGTTTGCTGGACCGGAGACGAGGCCACGTAAAATAGGCCTCTGTCTTTCCTGTTCCCCACTGTTTCTTTATGCTGCCTCTTTGTCCTCGAAAGAAATCGGTGTTCAGTAGGGGTTTCGTGGAACTTTGACCACCGAACTTTTTCGGCCACAAATGAACCAAAAGTGCATATTGGGGTTCACATATCGGTGTTGTTGTAGAACTGAAGTCTAGTTGCATCCGATTTACATCAGCTGCTTTTTTGAATTCGCTTAAAAATAGTGCATCCTTAAGGATCTCCTTTGGCCCAGGTGGAGCAGGCGAAACCAAAAACGTCCAAAAGTTTATTCCGATCATATGTGATGAAAATGGAAGACTATGAGGGAAAAGGTCAAGCAAAAACCAAATAAAAAACAACAACAACAAAAAAGCCAGATGGACAACCTCACCAATGTCTTTTTTTGTGTGTCTTTTTATTGCACGGGGGCGGGATTTCATATATTTTTGGCAACCAGGTATCTCTGTGCAAACATCATGCACATCCTTTGGCTGTACACACCTCAGTTTTCCCCCTATTAAATGTTTTTTTAGCAGGATATTTTAAGTTTAAGTTTAATACTGTGAAGTCCAAAGAGACAAATGTGATTTTTCTGATGGCAAAAACTGCAAAGTAAAAAGGTCCTCACTATGTAGCAGTGAGCATTAGACACTGACCTGTCACTTGTTTGTGGCTGTTCTTTTGCAATGGAAATTATATGTTTATTTTTTTCTGTAAGAAAACAGCTTGAAGTGGGGGGGAAAAAAGTTTAAAATAATAGAATTCAAGATTTGTACTATAATGTATAATGTAATTTAAAATTGGTATCTAGAAAAGGTGTCTTTCAGGAACCAGTATCAAAATGAAAGTATTTGTATTGGTATTGAAAAATGTTTAATTGATATCCAGCCCTATAATTGACTGCCGTATTTTCCCGACAATAAGTCGCTCCAGATGTATGTTGCAACAGGCAAAAAATGCATAGTGAAGAAGAAAAAAACATATCTAAGAAGCTCCATAAGACTTAGTGCTAGTACATCTAATTTGTCAATGGTACATAAGTAGCATGTACTCGTACACTAGCCTAGAGTGCCCTCTAGTGGCTGTCAGTGTGAAAGTAACAAACATGTACATTTTTAGCTCTAGTAGCTGATACTGGTACACAAGCTTAGAGTGCCCTCTAGTGGCTGTCAGTTTGAAAATAAGGTGAAATGATATATTTTAATATATAAGTCGCACCTAAGTATAAGTCGCAAAGGATAAAAGAAAGTCTGACTTATAAGCGCGGTAAATATGGTAAATTAAATTTGGTCCGTTTGCATCCAACTTTTTGAACAAATAAAACTTGAGGTCTGTAACACGAAAGCTAAATATGTGGTTCAAAACCGGTGCTGACTGACCGATCGCGATCAGGGCGATCAATGGGTGGATTGGTTTAGCTCTAGTTAGGGATCAGTAACCTGTGTCTTCACTGTCATTAGATTAGAAATATTGTAATTATACACCAATGCAGACAGCATTGTGATCTTTTGTAGTGATCTTAAAACATGCAGTTGTTGCTTAAGTGAGTTAGCTTTAGGCTAGCAGTTGTTACTAGCTGCCCATTGGTGGTGATATGGTGTTGAACTAGCCAAACATGAACCTCTTTTTTTTTTAATTTTGTGACTTCTGTTGCATGGACCTATGTTTTTTAAATATATAAATATATGAATGTAAATAGAAAAAAAAACAACAACTTGTGTATCTGACATAAGTATCTCATTTCCCTTTGTACAGATGCCATGGCTAATCCTTCTCCAGCAAAGAGTATCGGTGACCCTGGGATCACTCCACTTTCTCCTTCACATATTCAGGTAAATCAAACATAAACAGTCCCCTAACAAAATCTTATCACTCTTATCTAGAGTGACTTTACCAGAACTTGAAGTCAAGTGTGTATTATTAATATTCCGATAACAGAACTACTGCCTACAACTTTAAAGACATTTTTCAGGAGAGTTTCAAGTGTTTGACCAAATGTCGATAATCATTTGCTTTGGTCTCAAAGGTCATTTTCAATCATTAAAATACTTTATCTGATCATTTATGAAATGAGGGAAGTAGTTGTGTTGTTTTATTTTCAATATATACGACTTTTATTTTCTAGAAAATCTGGGTTATTTATTGTTGAAAATCCAACACTGAGATGGCCTCGTAGTGTAATAAAGGCGTCAGCAGTGGCCCTCAGCTCATTTGAGATTGCGGCGTCTTACGAGTGTAAACAATAAACATCCATTACAGGCAGCAGACTGCTGTTTAACTGGTGGATATATAACCTCAGTTTTTATCTGTCATGCCTCCCCCTGTGGGGACAGAAATGTGGACAACCTGATAACATGTATAGTTTAGCCGGGCAAACCACTGTATCAGTTGCTGCCACCTAGTGGCTTGTTATCATTCAAACATTACAGCAGTGGTACACTTATGTCCAGCGTGCCATATTACATTGGAAGCCCACCCCACTATTTGAGAAATCTGATATAACCACACATCTCACCACACTTACTTTATCTAAAATATTTATAAGATAAGATTTTAAGTTTATCATCACCGCTGTATCTAATCCGTTGTTAACATTGACTTCCACTTCCATCATTTCTAATTTTTTTTAATTCTGAGTTATTCTTTCAAATGAAATTCATTGTATATTTACACAACTGTGACAATGTCAAGGTCGGACCCTTTCTAACTGATGTTGTCTTATTAATTCAGAATGACACTGACCAGATGCAGACGCAGCAGTCCTTTGTGGTCGTGGTTGCCATTGACTTTGGCACCACATCCAGTGGCTACGCTTACGCTTTCACAAAAGAGCCAGAATGTATTCACACCATGAGGTAGGAATTTTTACTGCTTACTGCTGATAGATAGATAGATAGATAGATGGAGAGATGGATGGATGGAGGGATAGATAGATAGATTAGATACATAGATAGATAGATATATGGATGGAGAGATGGATGGATGGATAGATAGGTGGATAGATAGATAGATGAATGGATAGATAGATATATGGATGGAGAGATGGATGGATGGATGGATAGATAGATAGATTAGATACATAGATAGATAGATGGATGGAGGGATAGATAGATAGAGAGATAGATAGATAGACAGATAGATAGATTGATAGATCGATAGATAGATAGATACATAGATGATAGATAGATGGATGATAGATAGATAGATAGCTAGATGGATGGATAGTTGGATAGATAGATAGAGAGATAGATAGATGGAGAGATGGATGGATGGATGATAGATAGATAGATGATAGATAGATGAATGGATGGATGGATGATAGATAGATAGATTAGATACATAGATAGATAGATGGAGGGATAGTTGGATAGATAGATGGGTAGATAGATAGATGGATGAATGGATAGATAGATATATGGATGGATAGATGGATGATAGATAGATAGATACATAGATGGATAGATAGAGAGATAGATAGATAGACAGACAGATAGATAGATAGAGAGATAGATAGATGGATGATAGATAGATAGATGGAGAGATGGATGGATGGATGATAGATAGATAGATAGCTAGATGGATGGATAGTTGGATAGATAGATAGAGAGATAGATAGATGGAGAGATGGATGGATGGAGGGATAGATGGATGATAGATAGATAGATATATGGATGGAGAGATGGATGGATGGATGGATGATAGATAGATAGATTAGATACATAGATAGATAGATAGAGAGATAGATAGATAGATACATAGATGGATAGATGGATAGATAGGAGGATAGATAGATAGAGAGATAGATAGATAGAGAGATAGATAGATAGATATATAGATAGATGGATAGATGGATAGATAGAGAGATAGATAGATGGAGGGATAGTTGGATAGATAGATAGATACATAGATGGATAGATGGATGATAGATAGATAGATTAGATACATAGATAGATAGATGATAGATAGATGGATAGATGGATGGAGGGATAGATAGATAGATGATAGATAGATAGATACATAGATGGATAGATGGATAGATGGATGATAGATAGATAGATTAGATACATAGATAGATAGATGGAGGGATAGTTGGATAGATAGATGGCTGGATAGATAGATGGCTGGATAGATAGATGGAGGGATAGTTGGATAGATAGATGGGTAGATAGATAGATGGATGGATGGAGGGATAGATAGATAGATTAGATACATAGATAGATAGATGGAGGGATAGTTGGATAGATAGATGGATGGATAGTTGGATAGATAGATGGAGAGATGGATGGATGGATAGATAGATAGATGGATAGAAAGATAGACAAACTGGCAAAGTGCAAGAGGAGTGAAGCTGTGTATATACTGGCTTGAGTGGAGTTGGCGAGCAGGTGGAAGCAGTAGCAATAATAAAGTCCTAACGCCAGAGACCACCACTCATTAATTATTGTTTTATCTTCTTCTAGGCGTTGGGAAGGCGGAGACCCCGGAGTGTCCAATCAGAAGACTCCAACCACAATACTGCTGACTCCAGACAGGAAGTTCCACAGTTTCGGCTACGCAGCTCGGGATTTCTACCATGACCTAGACCCCAGCGAGTCCAAACAATGGCTCTACCTTGAGAAATTCAAAATGAAGCTTCACACTACTGCAGTAAGGACACAAACAGTAAAAAAATGTTTTTTTAAAAACCACAGTAAATGTATGCGCTGCACGCGCAGGCTACTGCTTCATCCAGCAGCATGTTACTGTGACGACTCCTGTCCTCTAGCTAAGGTGAAATATTGTAATGCAGCAAGATCACTCTGCAATGGTGTTGGAGCACATATGTTGAATAACGCTGCCTGTTGTTGGCTCCAGGCCCTTTCCCGGTTCACCGGTTGATCTTCGCTGTATGTTGTTGTAAATCTCACAGTTCCGTATTGCAACCTATTCTACATATAAAATACCCTTTTTTTTTCTTAATAAACCGCTGTGCTACGCTAAGCAAGGAGAGCAAGAGAGTCAACCCAGGGAGAGTGATTTACCCTGACTAAATGGTTATGAGCAACCGCCATATTGATGGACATTACTAGTGACACCATTTATTCAGATTTGGGTTGTCAAACATAAGGCCTGTGGACCAAAACCTTTCTTCCAGGGGGGGTTCATCTGGCTTAATGATTTTTAAAAAAAAAAAAAGCATAAACACTCATTCACGTGTGTTCATGTTCATAATGTTTTGTCAAATTATATTTCTTTAAATATAAATATTTCAATATATTTTACGATTGGACTGGTCATACATGGACGTGGCCCCTGAACCAAAATGAGTTTGACACCCCGGTTTAGATGCTTCATTTAACTAAACAAAAATTCAAACACGAGAACAGGGTTACGTTGTTCCATAAACTTCACGACTGTTTTACACTAATGCTACTTGAATTAGTTCATTAGTTAGCCTCAAGATACGACCGGGGGCATGTGCTCCTTCAGCACAGCGTTGCTGATAGATCACTGTATTGATTTTGTGATACATTTGAAAATGACCTCTAACTGTAATGACCTTCTTATGTAAACAGAATCTTTCCATCGACACTGACCTTCATGCAGCAAACGGGAAAAGAGTGAAAGCCCTGGATATCTTCGCATATGCGTTGGCCTTCTTCAAGGAGCAGGCACTCAAGGTAACAAATTGTACTTTCCTACTGTATCTACTACATACTGGTCTGGAAGAAAAAGAGAAACTGTTTTATAAGCTTATTTAAAACTTTTTTTGACAAGTTGGGGACCCAAGAAATCAGAGATGAATTTCATCAAGTCTGCATTTTGACGCATTAAGTCGCAAACTTGCAAATTATAGTCCGGAAAATACGGTGTGACCTTCTGACCATGTTTGAGAATGTGTTAAATATTTTCATCAGATTCATCTTCACAAATAAATGAATGACATTAACCAGTTAATTTCAAAAGCCCTAATTTGATCACCTCTTAACTAGAGAAGGTTATAGAGTCTGGTAACTTCTCCACTTACCAGTGACATTGAAAACTGTTGTTTTGAAGCCATGCCTGACTTATGTAACCAGCAATGGGTGTTTGCCCTTTTCACAGGAGCTGAGTGATCAGACAGGTGGTGACTTTGACAACAATGATGTCAGATGGGTGATCACAGTTCCTGCCATCTGGAAAATGCCTGCAAAACAGTTTATGAGGGAAGCCGCCTACAAGGTGGGAACAAGAAGCGATGAGTGACAACACTGTTTTCTATTTTACATGACTGGCGCTGTAGACTTACTGACACTGAAACCACGCAATGAGAACAATAGGATGTTTTTTTTAGTGTCATTTGGTGGGCCGATGACGGTTTGAAAAGATACACTGAAAATAGACAGAGAAGGTAAAAAGGAAATCTTCTTCTTTTTCTTTCGGCTTTGTCCCTTTTCTTTTTTTTTTTCAGGGGTTGCCACATCGAATCATTGATTTCCACCTCTCCCTGTTCTCTGCATCTTCTACTCTGACTCCAACTATCTGCATGTCCTCCCTCACTACATCCATATATCTCCTCTTTGGCCTTCCTCTCTTTCTCCTACCTGGTAGCTCCATCTCTAACATTCTTCTACCAATGTATCCACTGTCCCTCCTCTGCACATGTCCAAACCATCTCAATCTGGCTTCTCTAGCTTTTTCTCCAAACCTTCCTGTCTGTGTTGTCCCTCTAATGACCTCATTCCTGACCCTGTCCATTCTTGTCACTCCTAAAGAGAATCTTAGCATCTTTAACTCTGCCACCTCCAGCTCCTCCTCCTGTCTTCTGCCTATTGCTACTGTCTCTAAACCATACATCATGGCTGGTCTCACCACTGTCCTGTAAACCTTTCCCTTCACCTTAGCTGACACTCTTCTATCACAGATCACTCCTGACACTTTTCTCCAGCTGTTCCATCCTGCCTGCACTCTATTCTTCACCACTCTTCCACAGTCTCCTCTGCTCTCAACAGTTGATCCTAAGTGAATAGGAAATAAGGAGTGAAAAGAAGGACATCTGGGTGAAGCAAGTAAAAAAAAAAAATGACAACGGAGTGAAAAGGAGAAAGAAAGAAAGACACACTGCAGTGATTCGCACTAAAAATATGTTGCAATAACCAAATTTGTGTGACCTGGTGACTGTGTTGGAAGGACAGTTGGAGGTAGACTGGAGATGGCACACAGACAGGCAGTGAAAAATGCTCACAACCGCCCGGGCATTTGGTCACTGGGTGTGGCAGTCTGCAGAAGAGACTGAGGGAAGGGAGGGGGCGGACAACAAAGATGGGTAGGGAACAAAGATGCGTGTGTTTTTGTGCTGACCTGAACGCTTTATTTTAATAACTGATGTGAGCCAACTAGCCGTAACCAGTTTTCTGGAGTCTGGAGGGTGTTTTCCGAGGACATGATGCACTGCTGATTTTAAAGATATATTCTAAACTCCACTCTGTAATTCTAAAAAAAAACTATTCAATTTATCAAAAAAGGAATTAAGCTTACAAATCAGTGTAGTATCTTCAAAATATTTAAGTCTCAATTCATTAAAACCCGTCCCTAAAAAAAAAAAGTTGTTTGTTTAGAGGCCTATCCCCTTCTAATTAAAGGCAATAGCTTGAAATATTAATATTCACTGTATTGAATATTCAAATATTTGATGAAACAGTTTTAGTTTTACTCTCTGATTCCTGTCTCCCTGTAGTCTGGTCTTGTTTCTCGTGAAAATCCGGAGCAGTTGATTATCTCCTTGGAGCCCGAGGCGGCTTCAATCTACTGTCGCAAACTTCGCCTTCACCAGATGGTTGACTTGGCATCCCACACCACCCAGAACGGCATCAGCCCGACGGAGAATGCAGGAGGTGCAATGGTTCAAGGTAGGACCTGTGAATCCTGTGTGCTGCTGATGCTGTCCATTCTGTTGCGATATTTGCATGAAACACACATTACTGAACTCTGTTTTGCTTGTAATAATGCATGACAGTGGTGTGTTTGTTTTCCAAACATTGGTTTTGTTCCACACTAAAATACCCTGCAGCCATTTGTTTTCAAATCATCATAGACCAATTCGGTCAAACCGTTTTAACAGTGCAACTGTGACTGGGCTGTCGGATAATACCAGCCGACCAATATTATTGTACCGATATTAGCATAATTATGTATGAATGAATATCTGTAAGAAAAAGGTAAAACGTGCCGCATTTATTTGTATTGCTTGATATCGGAATCGAAAAATTAAGGGTTTGGACAATATCAACTTATCAGATTTGGGCAAAAAGTTAAAATATATGACATTCCTCTATCCAAAGCATATTGCATATATACAGTGGTCCCTCTCTATATCGCGGTTCTCCCTTCGCTCCCTCAGTACACCGCAGATTTATTTTTTATTCCAATCTTGCGAGAGTTTCACTATACTATACTAAAATTAAGGTAATTTTTTTAAATTATTATTTCCATTATTTTTACTCTTTTTGCCGGTAGCTTTGTATTTTAAGGTAAATTTTTTTATTATTATTATTTCCATTATTTTTACTCTTTTTGCCGGTAGCTTTGTTTACCTAGAGGAGATTGAACACGCTGATTGGCTCAGCATCTCCCCCTTGTCTGTCAGCCACTCATTCGCTTAGGTCTGTGCCGATAAATAGTATGTTGACACTAATCTAAACGCCCTACGATGACTCCTAAACGCTCTGATCATCTTCTCGGGTTTCGGTTACTAAGCCCAAACGAAGACGCTGACACAGATGACAGTTAACGGCCTTTGTTTTTCTTTACAATAATGTACGCTGCTGTTCGTCCGCCTTGGCCAGTATGAACTCCTCTGTTCACTCTCCTCGCTCCTTGGGCCCGGCTCCTAGTAATATAAGTAGAGGCTTGATTACTCCAATTGCGATTACTCACCTGCGTCCGGGGCTGCAGCTGAGTACTAACCTCTGCCATGCCCCCTCAATGTGTATTTAATTTATTTACGTAATATGTAAGACTTATATTTCCATTACACAACTCTACTGTGCATATAATTATGTGGGGAAGGGTAATACAGTCTAGGGAAGGGTTGATAACTGTCTCACCTCTACTTTGCGGATTTTCCCTTTTCACGGTGGGTCTTGGAACACAACTACTGTGATAGGAGCGGGACCACTGTAGAGACTTGAGCCCTCGCGTTCTTGTGCGTGAGCCAAAAAATGAAGACGTTGACTTTCTAACCTAAATAGCATTAACCTCATCGGAAGCCCGCACTTAAAAACCAAAAGTTGAACGTTTTTATTTGTTTCGTTTTCCAAAAGTTGTATTGTAGCTCTTTTCCCTGTTAGAATTCACATCCTTCCATTTCTGCCTCAAGATAACTATTAGTGAGGTAGGGTATTTACAGATGGTACTGTTTTTTTACTCAAATAAGTACCAGCTGAAGCTCTCTCCTGGAAGTTGTTATTCCGAGTTCTCACTCGTCAGATGGATTTAAGATGTTTGTCTGGTTTACACTCAGGAGCCGAGGTAAACAATAACTGCCGTTATCTTAAGATTCTATTGCCTTTTCTACAATTAATCCTGTTTTAATTTTTGAATATATATACATATATATATATATTAGGTATAAATCTGTCCCTTTCATTCTGTTTTGTGTTGAAATGTAACCAAATTTAAATCTAGCGCATGCTAACATCTCAGTCACTATAACAGACGCGGGAGTGACATCGACTGTCAGCAGTGGTCTTGACCTTTCATGCCCTACATGTGTGAGCTGAAGGGTTGTCCTCCCTTGTTTGATCGTTTCCGCCGTGTAGCAGGAAGTGACCTGTGATGACTTCGCACAGCGCTGTCGGCCAGGCAACCTCAGGTCACACTCTCTGGAATATGGAACATACATAAAAATGGCAGCTACATAAGTGTACCACTGCTGCAATGCTTAAATGATAACAAACCTCCAGTCACTAGGTGGCAGCAACTCATAAGTTGTCACGTAAAGCCAAATAGCTGCCTTCTACCAAACAATGATGAGATGTTTCCTTTCTCCACTGCTAATTCCCAGATTGGTTCCATTCTATACGCAAGGCTTGTATGCGCTTACGGCAATGTGACGCTAATGCAAAGTTGCTGGCGATGATTGAATGATTTGTAGCGGGCAAGTAGCGACCGGAAAAGAATTGAGAACCACTGGGTTAAAGGCAGAGGACACATTTCATTGTGTGCAGCGGTGTGCGGAGTCACAACACAATAATATGGCTAATGTGTGTGTTGATACATTTAACTATATGTACATGTATACATATACTGTATATACATATATATGACATTTAACCCTTTGATGCATGACCCATGGTATACTGAGTTTAAAAAATGTTACTAAGTGTTTTTATGTGTTTTTAGACATAAAATTAAGAACTGATTTGGTTCTGTTTTTATACACCAAATTTTCTTTTTGAATGTTGACACAATTATTCTGCAGTTGCAAAGGCTGACCACTGTATGGCAGTGTTGGGTGATTCTCAGGCATCCACAAGAGGCTTACATGCAACACTGCCATCAAAACCTATTCTTATCATAGAAAATGACATTTTAATAGCTGTCCACTGTAGTGACCGTCATGCATGAAAGGATATACACCAAATATACAGTGGATCATCGGTTTTTGAACTAAATTCATTCCTGAATGAAGTGTGCGGAGTCACAACACAATAATATGGCTAATGTATGGCTGTATTGCAGACACGCGATCCTTTCGGCATGCTGCTTGCCAAACACAGTACTGTACGCACGCCACACAGCGATGCTTTGCGCATTCATCGCACTCACCACAACGTTCTTTCTCTGTTAACAACTAGCCAAGGAGCATGTTCGGCGCAACCGGCAGAGCCGCACCTTTTTGGTGGAAAATGTCATAGGGGAGCTTTGGTCGGAGCTGGAAGAAGGTATAGTCCTTATACTCTTTCTATCATCTGTCAGTTTTTAACCTTGGTACTGCTTTTGTTGATTTCCATCCCCTGCCAAACTGCATCGATTAAAAACCCATGTTGCACTCAAAATTTAACTTTTAAAAAAAAAGTACAATAAAATCTTTATTTGTTTTAACTTCATTCTATTTGTTTAATGTAAGTGCACGTATTTCTGAGAGATCAAGTCTTACTGCGAGCCAGAAAAATAATTGACTACACTACTGACATAAAATTCATAAATGAACAGTTGGGTCACTTGACAACATTAGTGATGGGAAG